GAGGATGCGGTGGCCGGGAGCGGCCACTGCACTCCAGTCTGGGCGACAGAGTGAGACTCCAACTCAAAAAAGAAGCAAACAAAAAAAGAATAGAAGTATGAGGCCGGGCGCGGTGGCTCACGCCTGTAATCCCAGCACTTTGACATCTTTCGTCCCAGATACGGCCTCCGTGGTGAGTTTTGCATCTGTTGTAGACCCCGTGGTTGGTTACAGGGAGTCAGTACCTCCATCTTCAGCAAAGATCTCTCTGTTCAGCTTTTTTTGTTTGTTTTTTGAGTGGGAGTCTCACTCCTTGGCCCAGACGGGAGTGCAGCGGCCGCTCCCGGCCACCGCAGCCTCTACCTGCTGGGCTCCGGCGATCCTTCCGCCTCAGCCTTCCAAGTAGCTGGAACTACAGGCGGCGCTACCAGGCCCGGCTAATTTTTTGATTTATTGTCGAGATGAGGTCTCGCCAAGTTGCCCAGGCAGGTCTCGAACCCGCGGGCTCAGGCAATCCACTCACCTCAGCCTCCCAAGGCGCGGGATTACAGGCTGAGCCACCGAGCCCGGCTTCTGTCAGCTTTATGTTCACCGTTTGTTCCAAAGGGCCTGGCCACAGCTACTATGCTGTTTACCCTAATACAGTGACTCAGCTCAGGAGTCTTCTTCCAGGCCCACCTTTGAAAATGATGCCTTAGTTACCAAGTTTCAATTAGGTGAGCCTGGCCAAGGACCATAGCAGCTGACTTCCTCCAGGAGTGATTCAATAATTTTTCATCAAAACCCTAGTAATGACCCCGCTATACCTTACTTTTATTTATATATATATGTAATTATGCTATATAATTATAATAATTATACTATGTATCATTTACATATAAAATTATATACCTATATATTACTCAGTATACCTAAATTAACTCCAGAGAATTTTGAGTCTTGTATTTCCACATTTTATTGTCATCCAGTAACATAGCCAATGGAAATGAATGGGTTTCTGTTTATGGCAAAGATTCTTTGTTCTCCAGCGTCAGACTTCAATGGTGAAACTTTCTCAGAGAAATACAGAAAATACTGAGTTCCATACAGAAAATTCTTCAGCTGGAAGGATGTCAGAAAGATGGATTTCCAAAGCCAACTGTTTCCTGTACCATGCGGATCTCTGCTAGCAGAGCCTCATCTTTCAATTTCAGCTACATGAAAGGAAGAAAGGAAAGGATACATATCATACCTAATATACTTATGTGACTTTGAAGACCGCTCATTTGTAGGGCTACAGCTACAGAATGTAGTTCCTTGGGGTGGAATTGGCTCTTCCTATAGTCCCTATTTCAGGAAAACTCCATTAAAAGACTTTAGAACATTGTGCTGGTTACATGGATATGTTTACTTTGTGAAAATTCATTAGGCACCTATGAACACTCATGATTTGGATATTTTTGGTAAGATAACTTTATTAAAGTTTATTCCTAAAAGTGTTCACATTATAACCAGCATCTTTGGCTAATATGTAGGATTCCCATTTGGCAACTCACAGAAATCAGAGACACAAAAATCACAGGCTTATATTAAATCTAAACTTAGTTTTAGAATCTAGATGTATAGTAAAGATATCTAGTATGTAGCCTACTGAATACCCATTCTCTCTTATTAAAAAAAAAATAATAAGCCGGGCTCAGTGGCTCAGCCTGTAATCCCGCGCCTTTGGGAGGCTGAGGTGAGTGGATTGCCTGGGCCCGCAGGTTCGAGACCTGCCTGGGCAGCTTGGCGAGACCTCATCTCTACAATAGATCAAAAATCAGCTGGGTGTGGTAGCACGCGCCTCTAATTCCAGCTACTCGGAAGGTTGAGGCGGAAGGATCGCCGGAGCCCAGTAGGTCAAGGCTGCAGTGGCCAGGAGCAGCCACTGCCCTCCAGCCTTAGTGACAGAGTGAGACTCCAACTCAAAATATTGCTGTATTTCAGGGCAGCAATACAATCAGCTAAAAAGCCTTCTGTTCATGCTTCCCTTGCAGCTAGAGGTAATCACATGACTAATTGTGGCCCAATGAAATGTAAACTAAAGTCTTTGGGTGGGATACCTGAAAAACACCCCTTATATATTTGTTCATTTAGAGAAAGCCTTTCAAGAGAGTGAGATAGCTACAGCGTGGCCCCATTTTTCTTTTCTCCCTGTTCTTTATCTTGCCTGAAATATGAATATGGTAGTGCAAGCTACATTACTGTCTTGCAACTATGAGGGATGGAAACTGCATGCTACAGTTGGCGAAGCACAGAGATAAAGGTTGGGTCCCTGGTGACATTGTGGAGCTGTGCTACCAGCCCTAGGCTTTTCATTAGATGAGAAAAAACTAATTTGTTTAAGCCATTGTCTTTCAAGTCAAATTACTTGCAATTCATAACTAATAGAATTACTATATAGAAAGTATTCATATTATGAATTGCTTTAAAGTCCTGAATTAAACCAGTACCTTCCCCCCACTTTCCCGACCTCAGTATGCTACAGGCAGAGTGAGGCATCCGCATCTTACCTTTATCGTATACTTGTAGGCCTGCTCAGCTTCCAGTTGCCGTCCAGCCTGAAAAAAGCATAGTAGCTAGTGATGATGACATGCCATAAACATTGGAGGGCAAATACATTACCTCAGCTGTTTCTACTTAAGGCAGAAGATTCTGTCCCTTCTAGTTAAGAACCTCTACATTCAAAGGAAGCTAGAAAATAAAAGATGGTAGGGAGAAAACAATTTAAAAAAAAAAAATTTCTTCATTATTTCGAAAAACTTAAAGACAACTTAGAAAAAGTAGATATTAGAATTACTTCCATGTAGATCGGAATATGGGATAAGAATACCACTCCTCCCCAGTTGATGATATTCTTTGTGTGAAGCAGTCTTCCAAGAGTTAAATGAAATAGCACGAATTCATTATTATACTTCACAAATTTGTTTACACAGAAAGAGCATGCAAAGTCACTTGGGAAAGCTTAAATACATGTAAGAAGGGAATTTAGAGAATATCTAGTCCAATTTTCTTAATGCTAGTCCATGTGAAATTTTTACAAGGTCACAAAACTTTCATACCCCAAACCCTTACTTTCTACAATACCTACATTTTGAAGTGTTCCCACCTGAAGTTCACTGAATTGCCAGGAGCATTTTCCAGCATACCTTCCTTTCCACCACTATTACCTTAGTTTCCTTTTTGCCACAGGGAGACAGGACCCAAATAATGTGAGGATTCAGAATAGCCAATATAATATTGAAAAATAATGAATTTAGCCTAGGCAACATAGCACAAACTAGTCTCCACAAAAAATAAAAAAATTAGCCAGGCATGGTGGTGCATGTCTGTGGTCCCACTTAGGAAGCTGAGATGGGAGGATCATCTGAGCCCAGGAGTTTGAGACCAGCCTAAGCACCTCGTCTTTTTTTGTAGAGACCTCGTCTCTACAAAAACAAAAAATTAGCCAGGTGTGGTATCAGGTGCCTGTAGTTCCAGCTACTCAGGAGGCTGAGGCAGAGAAATGCCTGAGCCCAGGAGGTTGAGGCTGCCGATGTACTCCAGCATGGGTGACGAAGTGAGACCCCGACTCAAAAAAAAAAAAAGGAAAAATAATTTTTTTGCTATTATAAATGTTGCTAAAGGAAATATCATTGTACATGTCTTTTTATTTTTCTTAGGACTGTATCTAGATATGGCATTGCCAAATTATAGATGTAACTAAATTATGCTATATCACACTTAAAAGTGATTGTGGGTGTGGTGGCCCATGCCTGTAATCCCAACACTTTGGGAGGCAGAGGTGAGAGGATTGCCTGAGCCTAAGGGCTTTAGACCAGCCTGGGCAACTTGGTGAGACCTCCTCTCTACAGTAAATAAAAAAGTTAGCTGGGTGTGGTGGCGCTCGCCTGTGGTTTCAGCTACTTGGAAGGCTGAGGCAAAAGGATCGCTGGAGCCCAGCAAGTCGAGGCTGTGGTAATCCCAAAGTGCGGGATTACAGGCTGAGCCACTGAGCCCGGCTGTCTTGTTTTTTTTTTAATTCATAGAGATGGGGGTCTCGCTATGTTGCCCAGGCTGGTCTCAAACTCCTGGTCTCAGGCAACCTCCTGCATCAGCCTCCTAAAGTGCTGTAGGCATTATTTTTCACTGCATTCTTTTTTATTTCTATTTTTTGAGTTGGCGTCTCACTCTGTTGCCCAGGCTGAAGTGCAGTGCCACACTCCTGGCCACCACAGCCTCGACCTCCTGGGCTCAGGCGATCCTTCCACCTCAGCTTTCCGAGTAGCCAGAACTACAGGCGCGTGCGACCATGCCCAGCTAATTTTTTGATTTATTGTAGAGATGAACTCTCACCATGTTGCCCAGGCTGGTCTCAAACCTGAGGACTCTGGCAGTCCTCTCGCCTCAGCCTCCCAAAGTGCTGGGATTATAGGCTTGAGCCACGGCGCCCAGTCTCATTGCATTCTTATGCTTACGAGTGAGGTATAGCTGCTTTTCGTATGTGCACTGACTTTTATAGTTTCTACATCAGCAAGCTGCATACTCCTATCCTTTGCCCATTTTTTAATCAGATTGTTTGTAGAGTTGTTTCCTTATTGAAGAAGCTATTTATATAACTTGCATAGTAATCCTTTATTAGTTATGAATTCTGTAAATATGATAAAGTCCTTAAAACTTTTTTTGTGTCCTTTGTTATAAGTTTCCAACTTTAAAGTAGCTAATTTATTGATGGTTTATTTTTTACTTGTGCTTTTACAGTCCTAAGACATTTTCCATGCCCCTCACCCCAAAAAGAAATCTTCCATATCCCAAGGGCATAGAGGTATTCTCTATTCTTCTTGTAACTGTTCCAAAGTTTTGCTGTTACGACTTAAGTCTTTAGGGTCAGGGATGGTGGCTCACGCCTATAATTCCAACACTTTGGGAAGCTGAGGCAGGAGGATCACATGAGGTCAGGAGTTCAACACCAGCCTAAGCAACCACACACACATACCCAAATAATAAAATAAAAATATTATCTGGGCATCGTGGCATGTACCTGTAATTCTAGCTACTCAGGAGGCTGAGGCAGGAGGTTCCCTTGATCCCAGGAGCTGGAAGCTGCAGCAAGCTATGATCTTGTCACTGCTCTCCAGCTTGGGGGCAATAGAGCAAAACCCTGTCTCTAAAAAAGCCCAGCTGGAATTGTGTGTGTGTGAAATAAGTGACTAATTTTTGGTTTTGCCCCACTATTTATTGAACAGTCTATTAGTTTAGCATGGGGGGGGCTATATTATCTTTATAAAAGAGCTATATTAAGGTACAATTTATATGCCATCAAACTTACTAATTTTAAGGTTCAGTTGTGCAGCCCTCACCACAACCAGTTTTAGAAGACGTCGTCATCTCACAAAGTTCCTTCATGTCTGTTTGCAGCTAGTCCCCATTCCTACCCTTGGCTCTAGACAACTACTGTTCGTTTTCTGTCTCTAGAGTCTTCCTTATTTCAAATAAATGGAATCAAATAATATGGTCTTCTGTGTCTTGCTTCTTTCACTTAGCATAATGTTTTTGAGGTTCATCCATATTGTCAAATGAATCAGAATTTCATTTTAATTGCTGAGTAGTATCCCTTGTGTAAATAGATCTCATTTTGTTTACCCATTCATTGATGGACATTTAACATTTTTTTAGTTTTTGGCCATTACTAAATGCTGTGATTAACATTCACATACAAATCTTTTGTGTGGACATGTTTTCATATTATTAGCTAGATATGGAGAAGTGGAATTATAAGCTGTACCAACTTACAACTCTACCAGTAATGTATGAGGATTCCAGTTGATCCACTTTCTTGTCAATACCTGACATTGTCTGTCTGTTTGGATTTAAGCTGTTCCAGTGGGAATATAGCGTGTCAATCTGCATTATCTTAGTGAGGTATCTTAAAATTTTTTTTTACACAATTTCTGATTCAAGTTATAAGAACAGTTCTCTCTTCTTTTCTCTCTACACATATACACATGTGTATACAGTAGTCCTTTCCACAGCTTCAGTTACCCACAGTAAATCTTGATCCACCACAGGTTCAAAAATACCAAATGGAAAAATTCCCAAAATGATTTGTGTTAGTTTCACACCAGTGTCTGAGTAGCATGCGTGCAACCTGACGCCATTCTGCCAGGGACTTGACTCAGGTCCAGCATATCCACAGTGTAAGTGCTACCTGCCAGTTAGACACTTGGGAGCCCGCTCAGTTCTCAGATGCATTGTTATGGTCTCTCAGTGCTCGTGTTCAAGTAACCCTTATTTTACTTAATAATGACCCCAAAACACAAGAATGGTGATGCTGGCAATTTGGATATGCCAAAGAGAAGCTATAAAGTGCTTCCTTTACATGAAAAGGTGAAAGTTCTTGACTTAATCAGGAAACAAAAAAAAAAGTATGCTGAGGTTGCTAAGATCTTTAGTAAGAATGAATCTCTCATCCATGAAACTGAAGAAGGAAAAGGAAATCGTGTATTTAGTAGCACCTATGGGCTATTAGGAAAAAAATAATTTTTAAAAACAGTATATATAGAGATTAGTACTATCTTTGGTTTCATGCATCCACTAGTGGTCCTGGAATACATAGAGGATAAAGGGTAAGTTGTGTGTGTGTGTGTGTGTGTGTGTGTGTGTGTGTGTGCACGCGTATCTATGTATGTGTGTATCCATATAGATATAAACATTTAATTTTTCCTGAGCATTTGGGAGTAAATTGCAGATATGGCCCAACTTTAATACTCTGTGTGTGTTCTATACAATCAAAGATATAATTACAGCACAATTATCAGAATCAGCAGATTAATAAAGACAGAATACTATTAGCTAATTTTCAGAACTTAGGATCTTTTTTTGTTTGTTTTTGAGTTGGACACTCACTCTGTTGCCCAGACTGGAGTGCAGTGGCATGCTCACGGCCACCACAGCCTCAACCTGCTGGGCTCAGGTGATCCTTCTGCCTCAGCCTTCCAAGTAGCTGGAACCTCTGGCATGCACCACCACGCCTGGCTAATTTTTAAAAACGTATTGTAGAGACATAGTCTCACCAAGTTGCCCAAGCTGGGCCTGAACTCTGGGCTCAGGCAATCTTGCTTCTGCCTCTGAAAGTGCTGGGATTACAGGTGTGAGCCATGCCTGGCCTAAACTTTCACCTATAATTTTAGCATACATTGATGATTGTTAACTGAATTTTTTTTTTTTTTTAGTTGGAATCTCATTCTGTCACTCAGGCTAGAGTGCAGTGGCACACTCATGGCCACCCCAGCTTCGACCTGCTGGGCTCTGGTGATCCTTCTGCCTCAGCCTTCCAAGTAGCCAGAACTACAGGCATGCTCTAACGCACCTGGCTAATTTTTTTTTTTTTTTTATTGTAGAGACAAGGTCTTGCCAAGTTACCCGGGCTGGTCTCAAATCCACAGGCTCATGCAATCCACTTGCCTCGGCCTCCCAAAATGCTGGGATTACAGGCTGAGCCACTGAGCTCGGTCCACTGAATTAATTATTTTGGTGGTTTCCAAATTCTGATTTTTCTAATTTCATCATTCTTTATACATTT